GTCTATCTTTATATCTGATTTTAATCTATCTCTTTTCTAATCTATGATTTTTAATCTATCTGATTTTAATCTATCTACCTATCTATCTATCTGATTTTAATCTATCATCATGTTTTAATCACTATCTTTATATCTGATTTTAATCTATCTTTAAATCTGATTTTAATCTATCTACCTAGTTTTTAATGTCTATCTTTATATCTGATTTTAATCTATCATCCATCTATGATTTTTAATCAATCTATCCATCCATCCATCTATCTATTCAATGTGTAACATTTTCATCCAGGTAACTGTCTGGAGTTCCTTTTTTTTTTTTACTGTCCAGAGACCGGTCAAGAGAACATACTGCTTTGATATTTTCCACATTGTGCATATGGTTATGATTATATATCTCAGGTTCTCAGTGATACATAATTTGCAGCACGTGGCTGTCTTATTGACAAAGTTTAAACAAAATATGACTGACATGACTTATTCATCTGTGCTGCAGATGTTTGCCGCATTGCTACCCAAGACTAACTGTTTATGCTCCCTGTGATGATCGTTTTGCAGGAGGGTTTGTCGCCATGGTAATTGCATTAAATCACAATGGAACTGCAGGGAAATATCTGTTTACACATTCATACAGACTGTCAATTTGAGGGTTTTGTAGACAATATAATACATATTCATCTGTCTGGTAAAAACACGCTGTAATCTCAAAAAAAAAATTGAAATCACAGGGTCATTTTGTCATTCCTCTATAGTGTCATGTGGTGGTGCTTTTATACCTAGAGCTTTTTTACATTCATAAAGAATTCTTGCCAAGCTTACAGATGGAAAAAAAGAGATGAGTTCATAACTGAGAAGGACAAAACACAATCCATGATCAGTGCTGTGAAACATGCACTCCATCTGCTGGGTGAACCACATCAGGGCAGACAAAACTAGCAGTCTGGGGAAAAACAAAGTAGGTTAAGAAACTGCTGAAGCATGTCATTTTACCATCTTATCTCCTACAGAGATAACTAAAAAGACATTTGTAGGTTGATTTCCTTTAAAACTGCACAAACAATAACGACTACATACTACCAAAATATTGCTGTTTGTGCATCCAGGCAGGCATAGCAATGGAAGCTCAACCAATGACATGAGTTTCAGGGCGTAGCTATCTGTTCATTCAAACAATGGCAGATGCGCAGTTAAAATGGGCCAACATTGAAGAAATAAACTCCAAGAACTTCTGTAGCCTACATGATGTGCATTAACATCTGAAACTAAATTAAGAATGAACACCGAACACCAAGACTGAAACAGATATAGAATTTATTTAACCATGAGTAGGAAAAAAAATACATGGGGGTAAAGGAAACAAGCTGACCCTGTTATAAACACATTACTACTTAGAGAACCAAGAGAACTGGAGAAACAGTGAAATCCAAAACGCCTTGTTTACCATTAGGTTTTTATCCCCAACACTTAACATTGAATTAAAAACAGCTGCCATTATTTGATTTTTTTAATATCTATATTCTTTTCCCACATATACATATATGCAAAACATTATTTTTTTTTTTAAACATTGTGCAAGTGTTATGCTGGTATTCCATAAATGGTAAACAAGAGTTGGTCCAGTGCATTATATAGTGACATTACCTAAATACTTATTGACTCTCAGCTGATTCAACCACAATCCTGACCATTGAACTACTACCCCTACTGACAGAGAAAAGTTGATTATGAAACAAGAAAAGGAAATGAAAAGAATTTCTATGGTAAAGCCAGAAACATCTGCTCAAGTGGATCTGAAAAGGAGGAGGGAAATGGCTGCGAGTCATTATTGCCAAGTTGAGCATGTTGACATGATTAGCATTATGCTGTTTTTGCTTGTCGTGCACAAGACACCACCTGAAACCATTGTCTTTGACCCAAAGGAAACATAAATGCCTCTAAACAACGATATGGCGATGGCAACAATATCTAAACATGCACAATTTATTAGAAGTGACTTTTTCAGAGGTCAGTGACACTGAAGAGTGCACAGAACACAAGGAAGGAGAACAAGAACACTTGCTAATATAAAAGAGGTCTCTTCATCTCATCTACCCTTAACCTTACTTCTTCTGGAGATCAATAGCAAGAAAACACCTACGAAAGTAGGAAAAACAGGAGAGAGAGACAAAAGAAGTGTCTGCTATGCTTACCACAACCCAAACGTATTCGTACGCTTTAAACTAACTGGTTCTCAAACAAGGTGAAAAGCCACATAAAGCTCAGGGTCAAAGTTGAAATAGTTTGGTGACAAAATGACAGCTCTTTATTTCTCTGTGAGACTCTACGATTTCATTGACGCATTTCTTTTTTTTTTCTCAAAAGTATCTCGAAGTGAACGTTAGCAACAATATAAATCTATAATTCAGTGTGCCAACATTTTTACAAAAAATTTGGTTTTGAGTATTACAAAACAAAAGCAAAATGAAAATGACAAAAACTATTAGATATAATACACACATCAACACAATTCAAGTCAAAGAAAGGAAACGTGATACATTATTTATTCACACTTTACAAAAATCTTTTTACTACAACACCATCAGCAATCCAATATAACCAGACAAGTTGCTTTCAATTAAAAACAACCAGAAGAAAAACAAAACTGACTGAGATAATGTGAGGAATAAAAAGGGACACCAAAAGGGGAACTATAAGATGGTCCTCCCCAGTTCATCTATTTACTCTTGCTTAATAAAAGTCATTAAAATTGACCTCTGCCTCATGGCAAATGTTTTCATTTTTTAAAAAAGCAATGAGTAGCTGCACCAGCGATCTACAATAAGTGCTTGTCAATCCATTCCATTTTTAAAACATGACAAACTCGAGAGGGATGGGGAAAACGGAAAACAAATTGACTTCGCGAGCACGTGGCAATAAACAACGATGCCACCATAGACGAAGTTAAAAATCAGACCGCGCTACAGTAATGGTACTCTGGCCTTGCGTTTAGAGCAGAAAACAGACAAAAAAAATAAAAATCACCATGTATGTTTTCATCAGGTCAGAGAACAGGCTTTACAGTCGTTAATCGAGCTCTATAACTTGGCCTTGTGGCAGAATGCATTAGATGGCACGACACGAGGAGATAACCGTGATCTAGCAGGAAGTGAAATATAGAACGAGATCCGAACAAAGAAATACACAAGCAAAATATACGGTTAAAGAGAATTGCCTGAGTCGAGAGGGAGGAAGTGGCAGTAAATAGATAATTCAAATGGGGAGAAATAAAAAAAATAAAAATAAGAGGAACTACAGGAGAACAATAGGATTTCACGAGCGCGGATCGGCACAGCAGAAACACTCACTTTACTCGACTTTGTAGACACCCAAAAAGATCAGAAGAATAAGATATTTGACAGCGAATACAAAAAACCTAAACAGAAATGAGGATATTGTATAAGGATGGTGAAGATGTAGAGATTGAGGCTGTTCATGTGTTCACTGATAGCACTGTCAGTGCGCTTAGAGAAACGAATCAGTGAGGCACAGTGAAGGGGAACGGGATCACATCACCAGATATCTGCCTCAGTGAAATTATACGTCCAAAATAATAATCACGAGAGAGAGAGAGAAAGAGAGAGATGCACTGGGTAAAAACGGGAACTGTAGATCCGGACTTTTGTTGCTTGTATACAATCATGTAGAGACCAAAAAAAAAAAAAACCTATAGTCTTGGCTGGGCGAGGCGTCTACTGGTCACATTGAGAGTTTAATTTATCCGTCTATGAGTGGGATGTGCTTGTCTTTGCCTGTTCTAGCATATTTTCTGCATGATTTCCTGCCAAACTTCCTCAGGTGCAAAGGCTACTGGCACACGCTAACACAAAGCTGGCCATTCCAGATGATTTCTCTTCACGGAAACCCTTTCTCAGCCGTACGCACCAGATCAGCGGGCACCTCAGCTCAAGGAGGGCTCTATGGCACATGAAGCTAGACAACTCCATAAATCGGCCATTTTGGCTCTTGAAACGTTGCTTTCTTAAAAGCATGAATACAAAAAGGTGTGATTGCACTGGCATCCAATGGACTTAATTACAAGACGGACAAGGCCCGCTAGTTGGTGACGGCGGGCCGTGCAAACCCATCACTGGTGAACAGCTAGAGCATCCGTGGAGAGGCCTCAGCACCACTGAGCGCAAATGTAAGAGTTCGGCCAGCTCTCTTTACACGTTAAAAGCCCTTTTTTAAAGGGTTGCTCCTGGAGATCGGACTATCTGACCTAAGCTGGTGAAATTCTTTTTTTTTTTCGTCATCAAATTTAGCTGCTTGCTCTACACTGGCCTCATAGTAGCATGATCCAAATTATGCATTTCATGATAACTTGCTTTATCTGGACTCCCTGCATGAGTTTCAAAGATATTGCCATTTAGTTATTTATATAAAAAAGCTTTTTTTTCTGTCTTTAGGTAAAACTTACATGATCACTCAGGGCCCTTAGGGTTTTGAAAAAAAGTACAGAATGTTAATTGTGCCCAGAAACGGAGGGTAGAAAAGGAAAAATGAAACAAAAACAAAAGAAAGAAAAAGTGGGTGGGAGGTGGTAGAGATAAGACTGACATTAGCGTCTGCTTCAGTTAAAATCCGTGGGAATAAAAGTTTGCCATACCCCATCTCAGATTTATACACAACAGCCCTTGCCTCATTCTCTCTCCACTGTGAGAACAAAAGGCAGGGGCCGGAGCTCCCCCTGCTGGCTCTGAGAACTACCTGCGACCAGGCAGATGAATGCCGTTGACAGCAGGCAGGTAGGGCAGGAGCAGCTCCAGTTGTGCAAACAGGGAGAAGTGATCAGAGGGGATGTGGGGATGGGGGCAGCCAGTGACATTGTTCTCGTGGAGCCAGTGGAGGTCCAAGGGACCCAGCACGCCCAGCACGTTAAGCAAAGGTTGAGAGTAGAAGATGTAGTCAATGATGCCCTGGGAAAAAAAAAAAAAAAAAAAGGATTAAAAAAAAAGAAAAACATTACAATTGTGCCATTGATGGTTTAACACCAAGGTAAAACATGCTATAAACACACTTAAATACTTATAACTATTAACTTAATACATTTCAAAAGTGTTTCAATACAATTAAATTTTTATCCTCAAAATAAGTCACAATTGTACAAACAAGTTTATGTTTATGGTGAATGGCATAGTTTTAACATTAAACTTCTTGAAACAACTAACTTGTTTTGTCTAAATGATGGTCCCTTGGATTTTAAAGTGCATATGCCTAGAGATTAGGGGTGTACTGACAATAACAGGATATTAAAAAAACAAACAAAAAATAATAATTGTATTGCACCTTAAAGGGATAGTTTACCCAAAAATGACAATTTTGAAGAATGCAGATAATCAAACTGTTGCTGTACCCCACTGACTTCCATTATATATAAATACATATATACATACACACACACACACACACACTATGGAAACCAATGGGGACGAGCAACTAGGGGGTGTGCAATATATATAGTCTACGATATCATAATCGTTTAAACGATATGCAGTTTGATATCAAGTATATCGCAAAAAATAAAAATAAAAACACCCCCAGAGAGTGCACGCATACACTATGAGATATAGGTTAGACCAGTGTTTTTTTTTTTAGTCGCGGCACCCTTTGGAAATTAAAAAAAAAAAAAAATTGTGGCACCCTACAAAACTGTCACAATACTTGAATTTCTAACTTCGATATGATACTTTGAAAAGTATAGATATTTGGTACAGATATCAGATGTCATTCAGATATTTTTAATATTACACTATTGTTTATCCATCAATGGTGGCAATCAGTAGGTTTTTATTCATATGTAAACATTGTTTAATTACCATTAAAACTAGCCATCTCACAAATTTTTGCTCACTCAGTGTATTTATTTTACAGTGGGGCAATTTTGTTGCAGCAGCACAAGATAGCTTGATTTCAAACTTTGAATTGAATAAAAAAAAAATGACAAGCAAGCAGTCAGTAATAAAATAAGAACAAAAACAAATTACTAATGATAGCACAAATAAATAATGATACAAATCAAATAAATTGCTTTTTAGTTTTTCAGGTAGGTCTAACAGTAGGGCTATTAAGAATTTTTTTTTTTTTTTTTTTTTCAAAAGTATGGGCTCGGTAAGATTTGGTTATGTTTTTGAAAGGAAATGCTCACCAAGGCTGCATTTATTCGATCAAAAACATTAAAAATTGTGAAATATTATTACAATTTAAAATAGCTGTTTTCTATGTGAATATATAGTAAACTGTAATGTATTTCTGTGATGCGCAGCTGTATTTTCAGCATCATTACTCCAGTCGTTAGCAGATCAATGAATAAGAGGGCAGCGTTACCAGAGTTGCCCATACACTACCACACCATGTTACAGCACAGTAGGGCTATTGCAGACAGAAATACTGTACTACATAGCTGTTTCCTGTCGGCTCGATTTTTGAGTGGACTTTGCGGTTCCGATGAGCATGAATGGTATATGAGTGGAGCGCACACACATAGAGCGGGATAACATGCAGAGCATCACACCACGTGAAAGTGAAACCTGAGCGATGAACTAATTTTCGGTAGGGTTGGGTATTGTTTGGTTTTTTTTCGATACCGGTGCCAAATCGATACTTTTAAAACGGTTCCGGTGCCTAAACGGTGCCTGAACCGATACTTATAAAAAAAATTAATGAATAAATTCCCCAAATAAATGGATTGGCCATTAGAACAGAAATAGAATAGAGTGTACAAATGTTAGAGGGTCAAGTTTTTTTAATTAAAAAAAAACAAGCAGATAAAATTAGAAGTAGCATTAGAATAGAGAGTGCTAGAGTTAGAGGGTCAAATGAAGATGAAAGATGTGTTTTCAGACGTTTCTTGAAAATATTAAGGACTCAGCTGCTTGGATTGAGTTGGGCAGGTCATTCCACCAGGAGGGAACATTTAATTTAAAAGTCCGTAAAAGTGATTTTGTGCTTCGCAAACGCTCATTCAAAAATATTTAAATACACCGCATCCTGAGAACGGCTCCCTGATGCGGCAAAATATACAATATTAGAATGTTTAAAGGAGTGGACATGAAAATCGCGGGAGCGAAACACAGGTTGCGAGAGCAGGCGGCAATGGTCAGAGATTCAGCGAGAGTGGGATTAAGAAAACAGCCGAATCCCGGACATTTTGGGCAATTAAGAAATCCCGGCCGGATGCATTTTTGTAGGTCCAAAAAGAGGGCATGTCCGGGAAAAAGAGGACGTATGGTCACCCTAATTTATTGCTAATCGATGTATTCTTTTTAAAGTAGCATATAGAACATTTTCTGCCTCATTCTGTGGCAAGAAGCCTCATCAGATCACAAAAGGAAGCATTTGACTGGTGTGGAGTAAAAAGGTTATAATGTTCTATTTTGTTGGACAACAGGTTTAGAAATGTGAATACAAGGGAAGTTTAGCTTAGGGAAGTTTAGCTTTAGGCATTTTAATTTAAGCATGTTTAGCTTAGTTAACGGAAGGCTACCTGCTGCCATCAGAGCAAGTGTAATTAGCCTACTGCATTCACGCGCTCCTCGGATGCTCTCATTTCCCCGAGTTGTGCTTTTAAGTTGGAATGTGAAAACACCATTGACACTCTCGTTACTACAAAGATGTGTGTTGGATTTGTATTATTAGAGCTTTCTGACTTCAGTTCACATGCATTTTCTCAGTCGGGAAATTATTTTTCACGTGCGGTGCCGGTGATGATGCCACGTTGATGATGACGACGTTTCGGAGAACCAGAGGACAAATATTTCAATCGATCGCTCAGGCATGGCCCCCGAAATGAGGCACCGAAATCTGCGGTCGGATTCGGTTCTAGTACATACCGGTTACATACCGGTGCAACCCCCTACATTGCGAGTAAATCACTCGCATATGTGACTAAATCTTACTCTGGGCGACAAAATGATGTCTAATATTAGCCACGTAGCACGCAGCGCACCTGTATTTGACGTTCCATAAACTAGTGTGAAGGCGCACGACTCGCCGTCGCTTTACTGATAGCGCTGTTTCTCACACATGCAACAGTCCTAAGTGCAGTTAAAATGACAAATATATGCATTCATTCATGGTTACCGAGTTTTAGTTCTAATCACTAGTTATATCATTAAATAGTGCTTAATTATCATAATATCATAATATAATGCTTGATTGGCTGAAGGTGTGTGTGTGTGTGTGTGTGTGTGTCTGTGTGTGTAAAAATAAAGTAAACAGTTTTCTTTTTTACTTTTAAAATTTTTTAAATGCAGAAAGTTTTCTGTGAGGGGTAGGGGTGGGTTTAGGTTAAAGTGCCATATTGGTACCGGGTTTCGGTACCCAACCCTAGTTGGGTATTGTTTTTTAGTTTTTTTTCTCGATACCGGTGCCAAATCGATACTTTTAAAACATATGAATATTGACACACATATATACACACACATATACATACATACATACATACACACACATATATAATTAATTGTTACTATTACAATTATATTATTGTTGCTTTTGTTAAAATAAATCACAAGATGGTCACAAGATGAATATTCAGATTTTTTCCCCCAGTAGTCCGTTTTATTCAAACAATTATGAACATTTTTGCATTTAGATACAGAAGAACTTTGCCTGTTGAATATTAAAAACAAATGAACAAACAAAAAATCTGGATCTCCATGTCTGCCATGCAAATCAAATGTTCCTGCTCATTCTTAGACTGGATCTCTTCTCTCAAATTTCCCTAATTGCAGATTCAAATTGGTCAGTATTC